TGCAGCTCTGGGAGGCCCCCAGGGCCCCAGGTAAGGCTGCTGGGGCCAGCCCAGTACTGGCCTTAGCCTCCCCTACCCCATCTGGGTTAACTTGCTGTGTGCCAAAGTGCACTTGGCATAGGCATTCCCTGGGGACAAGTAATGGTGGTGCAAGATGAGCTGCTACTACTTGTCCCTGGGGAACCAAACATCTACACTTGGCTGGACACACCCTCTGGCTTTAAGTTGGGAATCATGTTTGCACACTTAACAGTACAAACGTTGCATGGCATTGGGGATGCCGTGCACCCTAACTAAGAATCACTGATCAGTGAGCTTTTTTTATGTCTCATTTTAGTTTCAAAAGTAAAACAGGAATAAAAATTACATTCTTTTCTTAAAAGGCAGAAAAGTATGTCAAGATCTATCAAGTTCTAGAAACAGAGAATGGAATGAGAACTGGTATATACATTTTACTAGAATGTTGGTTAGCATACTTTTGAAATATATGAATGCAAAAAATCAGCAGAAGGTTACCAGATTTACATTAAGAGCGAATATTATGTCTGAGAGGGGAGCACAGATATATTCTTAAAGAATGGTTTCAACTTATAAGTGAGGGACTTCAAAGATTGGTAGGAAAGATAGAATTTCTACATGGACCCAGAAGTCCATGGGCAATAGAAGAGAGATTTTTTTAGAAGATGAAGGCTTAAGCTGGTTATTAACAGCACAGCTGAAACCTAGGAGTTCTGGATTTTAAATCATGAATTGCTAGCACCTGAGCTACCAGACTCTCTCAGTTAGACAAGGTTTTAATAGTTTTGTCTTGCTCCAGCCACCATTAGAGAGGAATAAAGCCACTGTACTGAGTGTGTGTGCATTGTGCAAACAAACTATACAGAAGAATACTAGTAGAGAGAGCCATAGAGAGGAGTGATGCATAGAAATCACAAAATGGGTTTTACTTTCCATGTAAAATGTCAGATTTTCATTGCAAAAATGAAATCTGAAAGACTTTGATTTAGAAATGCTTTTTTTAGTGCCTCTTAGGGGTTGAGTTTCTTCGTGTCCTTATTCTCCCCCACCTCCCCAGTTGACCTTTGGTATTGAACTTTGGTGAGAAGAAGCCATATGATTTGGCATTCATTCTCATATATTAAACTTGTTATGGGACATCTCCTGTCCATTTTATATGCAGGAGATCACAGTACAAAAGTCATATGGCAAATACAAAGCACCTATTATGAAGGCCAGAACAAACAAGCTTCATTCATGTGAGCTTGATTTGTAGAATAATGTGGCATGATACTAACTACTAGGGCTGTGCGAAGCTTCAGTCGCTGATGCAGTTTGGAGGAGATTTGGCCCAATTCGGTGGCTGAATCTCCAAATCTGAATCAAATCGGGAGACCCATTAATCTCTCCGAATTGAATTGGAAGCCTCTGAATTGATTCAGAGAGATTCAACAACTTGGACATAGACACAGCTTTATGTTTTTTTCTACGTACCTCGAGGTACCAGGCTCGTGAACACTGAGATGGTGGGGTGGATGGAGCGTCCCATGGGAGCGTGTTTGGGGTGGGGGAGGTCCCCCATGCGCTCAGTGATGGACCCGGAAGTGTATAAGAAGTACTTCTGGTCCACTTCTGTGGGACACTCCATCTGCCCACCATTTCAGTGTTCATGAGCTGCACCTGGTACCTTGAGGTATTAGAAAAGACATATAAAGCTGTGTTTGTGGCCAAATTGCTGATTGTCCGAATCGCAATTAAATCTTCAGATTCAGCCGAATCAAATCAGGACAGTAATCTGAATCAGCGAATCTAATCGCTGTTCCCTGAATCAGGCCGAATCTGAATCGAATTCTGCCCACTTTGCACACCCCTACTAACTACAGGTAAACACTGATATTTTAAAAAATTCTGATTATTTGAATTCCTAAATTTAAAAAAAAAACTTTTTTTTTTTAATCTGGAATTCATATTTAACTCAGTATTTTATTACACGATCCTGTTTTTATTAAGGGTTTTCAGATACCTTCTTCATCCCCAAGAAATGTCATGAGAAAAAAAATGGAATAATTGTAAAAATGAACAGAAATTGTAATGTTTTGTGTCTACAATGGTGGTTTTTTTAATGCAAGTATTCACCGTGAAAAATAGTGTTTACAAAAAAGTCTAAAAATCTCATGGGAATTTTATTACTGTCTTTTTTCACCATCTTCCCTGCCCACTAAAAGGAAAGAGGTAAAGATGGAAGAAAAAGATTTATTTGTATTTCAATTGAAACATTTTCATTTGGGGAAAAAAGCCAGTTTGTTTGTGAAACATTTAGTGAGTTCTAGTCGGTAGTGTCAGAGGCACCACACACATATATCTACAGTGTAGTTTCAGCCCATGTTAGCCTTTGAGGGCTGAAAGTCCTCTAATGTCCTTTCCATAATATCCCGTATGAAACAGGCACGCTCCTCTGCAGTTGACTGGGAAAGAAGCCTAGCACAAAGAACAAAAGAATATACCCTCATACACACACGGGCAGAACAAAGATGAAGAGACTGTAATAATGTGGGTAGGACTTTGCTGTAGGACTACTCATACGGGGACTGGAATAATATGGATGGTATGCCACTGCCTTTTGGTTTACTTTTCATGGTTGGTGCACTTTTGTGTCGGAAAATGTGCACGACCAAATCCAGAAATTGCAGTATTGTGTCAGGTGTTTAAGAGACCAATTTAAAACTAGCATGTTTCCTGTGTATACTGGGCACAGGCCTTTGGATTTTAGGAAGATAAATTTACATTGGATATTAGGAAGAACTTTCTTACTATAAGGGCGGCTAAATACTGGAAGAGATTACCTGGAAATTTGTGGAATCTTTAATACTATAGGCCTTTTAAATACAGGTTACATTTGACTGGTAACATCTAGACTGGGATGTTTCTGCCTTGAGCTAAGGGTTAGACTAGATGACTTCTTGAGTTCCCTTCCAGTCCTATTTTTTCTATTATTGTGTTTCAAAACAAGTGGTTTACATGCATAGAATTGTCCTGCCTTTTGAAGGACTGTGTTGTTCGTTGATATAAAGGGGGCTTTCACTGACCTTTTCATCCAGTCTCTGCTGAGAAAGAGAGGAGGGAGATCATTTATTTACCTCAAATCAAAGTTACAGATAATGATTTATTTTTTATTTATATTTTAATAAATTAAAGTTCTCTGAAACACATGGCAGTGCCATATGAAAAGCAGCAACTCTTAGATGTTTGCAGAAGTTAGGATAGTCTGTAGATGGATATCTAGGCTGCACGATATATCTTGAAGGAAATGTGTAATTAGATTTGTTTTCAGTGGCTATTATTGATGTACAGGTAAAACTGTGGTGGGTCATTAAAGATTGTTGTTGCTATCAAGTCTATTGAATTAAATGGTTTTCAGTGTTGTATGAAAATTACTTTTTTAATATATTACAGACCTTCCAACGCATTCAAAATACTATATCCCTGTTGACAGTTTAAATTAATCTTATCATATTACAAAATTAAAAATCATTATCTTGTCCTTGTGCTATGAAGCTTTTTATAAAATACATGGCTAGATGTATTCTAAAAGAGATTCAATTAACTTCACTGGATGTTAATCAGATAAGTATTAAGATTTATGACAGCACTTGGAAGTCTTCATTAGGTAAATATGATTCCTTTGTTGTTTTGATAGCACCCAAAGCACTTGGCTTCTGTACAGCTGAAGAGGCAGCCTAGTACATCAGCTTTTGAGAGGACAGCTGCTTTTGTTAAATGGCTTATTTTTTAAATCTATTTAAATAAACATCAGACACAAAGCAATGAGTTCATGTATCTATTTGGAAGTTTACTTGATCGTTCTGGTTGCTTCTGAAGAAGTATTTCCTGGGGTTGGATTGGGGTGGTGAAGGGGGAGGGAAGGGTGCATGGCATATTTTAGACAGTGACTAGGCTGGACCTTTTGTCGGTATTAATCTGCATAGCTGCACTGATTTATGCCATATGAGCATCAAGCCCTCTTTTTAGTGTGTTAACATGAGCTTTGGGAGGATGTCTGTCATAATTCTGCATTAAGTCTGATCAGAACTGAAAGCCTGTTTGAAAATAAGAAGATGAATCCTTTGGAGAAGGATGCTTACAAACATACAGATAATTAAAGTTGCATAATTTTTAATTTTAACACTTTTCACTGTTTGGAGTGCTTCACTTCCCACCCCTGACTTTTTTACTATGCTGAGGGAAGATCTAGGCATTCATTCTTGCGAGGGTTTATCTCATAAGGAATGTAGGTTGTAGCCATGTTGGTCTAAGGACATAGGCAGACAAGGTTCTTGGGTGAATCTGATATCTTTTATTAGACCAACTCCAATAGTTGGAAACATTTTTTCTTAGCAAGCTTTTGGGTTTAAAAACCCTTCCTGACAAAGGGTTTTTAAACCTGAAAGCTTGCTAATAAAATTTTTTTCCAGCTATTTAAGTTGGTCTAATATAAGATATCAGATTCACCCAAAGAACCTTGTCTCTCATAAGGGAGATTTTCCATGTTGACATATGGATGATTTTTCTCCCAGAGGGGGCATGTTTCTCCCTTGAAGAAATTGAATTAACACTTAAATGCTCATAGTTTCTACTTGGAGAGCAGTGATTCTCTCAGTAGAGATGTAATGCCTTTATATGTCCTGAAAATGAGAGAAGAGGCATTTTCAATGAAAGGAGAAGAGCTGCTGATTGTAGGCATAGTTTTCTGGCACAAATTAGAGCAGCATCAGGGGCATTCCAAACCTTGTTAAAATGGGAGGACACTTTTTGCACATGCCCCAGACCTGGAAAGAAATCTTAGGACTGCATCACCTGTAGAAACACTTTTGTCAGTTGAATCTTTCAGTGGTTGGCAAAGCTGGCTTTGAGGCTACTCTCTGCCCCTAGAATCCTTGAATCTAACTTTGATTTTTATGTTTATATGATGATGATCCATTGGTTTTGCTTATTTTTTGCAACAGGAAGGGGAAAACATTTTCTATCTGGCTGTTGAGGATATAGACACAGATACAGAGCTTTTGATTGGTTACCTTGACAGTGATATGGAAGAAGCAGAAGAGGAGGAGGAAGAAGTGATTCCTAACCAAGAAGATGAAGACAGTAACAACAATAACAATAAAGAGCTGCAACAAACTAGCGAGAAAGGTACACAAATTTAATAGTTTTGTGTTTAAAAAGCAGTCACTAAGGGAACAAAAACCTCATTAGTGAGAAGATGAATGGGTTTTAGGTATATTTCAAGAACACTGAGGGCCGTTTACATTTTATATAGTTATATAAAATAGGCTTACATATGAGTTTGGTTAGGGAAAATTTTAATCAGATATTATTTTAATACTGAGATTATAGCCCTACTCTGTCTCTAGGGTAGAAGTAGTTCATATACCTTTTGTTGCAGGGCCCCCATCTACATTCCCATTTCTGTTTTTGAAGAACATTTATTATGCACTTTTAACAGTGGGTTTTGCAAGATGATGATCACGTTGGTCACTGTAGAAGTTCCTACTCGTAAGTCCGGAAGTTGTGAGAGTTTGGGACCATAATGCTAGTATCCAGAGATGTGGACTATATAATTGGTCCCAAGTACAAAGGTGGTCCCCAAAGTATAGCATTTTCCATATAAAGGGCAAGACCACGTGGAAGAGGAGTGTTCTTCTAATTTATCAACAAATGCTTAAGTACAGTGCAGTGTCCAGACGTACGAACTAATGGGAAACAAAGCACTGTTGTCATGATAGCATAGTGCTCCGTTCACACTAATGTGCTCATGTGAAGCTTGATGTTACTGTAGGTAGACTGCTTCTAGGACCCAAAGTACCTTGCTTAGAGCTGGGTACATACTGCATTGCAGTGTGCCATATAGATATACCTCATGATCATATCAGAATATACAGTTAGGTTCTTTGCTGACCAGTTTGAGGCCCTTGTGCTAGCTAGAAGTCCGAATGGATTATTAATTTAGAGGAAGACAGCTCCTTGTGCAGTCTGTTAAAGCAGAATTAGCCATGAACTATTCAGCCAGGTACAGACATTACACTTTTACCAGTATAAGTGATTAGAAACTGGTCTATACTCAGAACAGAAATTCGGCACACACAGACTGGTTTAAAATGGCAGAATCCAGCCTAAGATTTACGCCCCCTTTTCCCCTCCCCCAAAGGACAAATGTGTGTTAGGTTCGTTACTGATGTAAACTATACCACTTACAGAAAACTATGTAACAGATCAATTACACCTCAGGCTTTTTGAATGCGTGTAACCTAGCTGCCATTTTATGTCAGCCTTATGATTTGATTCTGTTACCTGCTGTATCAGTTTGGTGACTTGGCAATTTAAACTCATTAATCTACTTAATCAATCATTAACTCTGATCTCAATTTGATCCTTATGTTGTTCCTTTCTTAATTAGTTTAGGAAAGTTATAGTAGTTCAGACTCATTATTAGTATCAGCAATGTGTTTGTATATTGGCTTGGTTATTCATTTCATAAAATCACTAAAAAGTCCACAGGACTGATTTATTTCTTCAGTTTGCAGCATAGGACAGTTACCCAAGAGTAAAGCTCATTTAGGTGAAATATCAGCTCATTTTCTAAATGCATATACTGTCTCTCAGACATGTGCCCTCACTCAGGCATTAAATGGTCAGCAACAACTTTAATCTGTTGCTATCTGACAAGCTACAACTGTCGAGGCATTGAACATCTGGACTTGGTCTGGCCTTCAGATTCTGTCTCGATGGTGTAAAGGGGGGATGGTAGGCCTAGAGCAGCCTCTACTATTTTCTAGGCATATGTGCTGAAGGTCTTGGTGTGATCTATAATAGCAAAATGATAAAGTGACTTGTATGTTGGAATATATGGACTTTTGGCCCCTAGGTTTGATTTGAACTAAGACTTATGGAAAATGGCACTACTAATCTATGAATTGGTTAGGCTTGGGGTTGATATTGGTGAATATCAGAAACTTGACTTTCAGATACAGGTTCTTTTCAAGAGAATGATGACATTGTTTTCTGGCATGGGAAACCAACAGGAGAAAGGAGAGCAGGGGGAGCAGGTTTTCCTTTTAGAAACAGCTTACTGTTTTTCTCTTGCAGTTGAGAGACAACCAGCTCTCCCACTCTGGGAGTGGACAGCTCTCCCACTCTGGGAGAGCTGGCTGTCTTTCCACTCTAGGCAACAATTTAAATTAATTTGGTGTTCGTTTATTGTCCTGAGGAACAATAATTGTGAATCTGATTATGGCATTTGATGTAGTACCTTTTCAGAGTAGAAGCTTATTTTAAATTAAGCAGAAATACCAGTTACTGGAAATTATTTCTCTTCTATTTTTCTTTCCAATCATGCAGATTCTTTGAGCTGTAAAGAGGACCACGCATGCCCAAATTGTGAATCCAGTTTTGCCAGCCAGGAGATTCTAGCTGAGCATCTTCAGACTTTGCATCAAAAGCCTAGTGAAGAGAAAGAATTCAAGTGCAGGAACTGTGGAAAGAAATTCCCAGTTAAACAAGCTTTACAAAGACAGTGCGTACAAATAAGAATGTTTTCTATAACTTTTTAAACCAGTAATTTGCCTTAGTCCATATAATTAATTTCTTGTTCAAGTGTCTACAAGGTCCATGCCTCTTTTCTAATAGTGTTGTGATTTAAAAGGTGAGCTGTTTTCTGCCCTTAGGGATTGAATTAATCTTTCATACTTTACCGAATACATTAATTTTTGAATTTGTTGAGTTGCTGTATGTTTTGGAGATCCTGGTTGGAATGAAAAAGGGTCATTAATGCTTAATCATTTGTGACTCTTGGAAGGCTGAAATGGAAAAGTAATTTCAGGTTTTGTCATTAAAGTCATATGCAGCATACTTTATATGAATATTTAATAGATACTGTTGTATATTTTAGTATTTATATCTTATGCTACTATCTAAATTAAAACATAGATTAAATGAATGAATCACTTGTTATTGTATGTTTAGTTACAGAGAATACTGCATTTAATCTGACTACTGGATAAGAGCACAATAATATTACATAGCAATATGTAGACTTATTCATTTAGGTAAAATCATAATCATCCCTGAAACTGTTATCTCTTACTTCTGTGTAAATACTATTAAGTGCTTATGAAAAATGTGATTTCTTGAAATTGCTTTTTGTAGAGGCAGTTAAATGAATGGAAGCAAAACCCTTTTCCCTCTTTTTTTAAATCCTAATTTAGAGATTGTTTTGTGATTGGCTGCTAGCTAAATTTATTAAAAAATCTTGCAGAATCTTGCAAAATAAAGTATTTGTAACAGAAAATACACTTCAACAATTTACTATAGCCCCAAACTTGAAATACTTATATAATTGAGTAGTCCCATGAACTCATTCTATATACATAAGTAAAAATACTCAATAATACGTGTCTGTAGGCTCAGGCCTATATATTTTGTAATTGGCAGAGTCAAATTGTTCTTTATAGGATGTTTGCCATTTATTTTATTTTATCTTTTCTCCTAGTGTTCTCCAGTGCACAGAGAATGTCAGTCCAGGCGACACTTCAAGAAGTTTTCAGTGTTCTGTGTGCAATACTTCCTTCAGCTCAGAACTGAGGTTTTGTGTCTGAATTACTGGACTGCTATCATATGATTGCTGGCTTCCCTTTGCATGTTAGCTTGCAAGCTTGTTAGTTTATGTGAATCTTAACAGTGAACGAAGTCAGATGCTTTCATTCCTACCTGCTGTAAGTAATGCATGAGGAGCTGTGGAAATCTGCTATATGGCATGTGTTAAGCTCAGAGCAAACAGTTGCTTACAGTCAAGTTTGTTGGTATTTTTTCATATTATTTTTCTTTGCTGGTTACCCGATCTAGTTATGAGCAGCACAAGGAGGCTTGTAGAGGGGATGCCAGATTCATATGCAAGGCTGATAGTTGCGGAAAGAGATTCAAGAGTAAAGATGCCCTAAAAAAACACAAGGACAATGTTCACACTGGTAAGAAATGACTGATTATATCATTCTAATTCACCACCTAAAGTAAGAACTATTTTTTTTTAAACGGATTCATTGGTAGTCTTACTATATTTCCATTTACTTATTTACTTCCATTTACTTACAATATTTACTTGAATATAAGATGAGGTTTCCCCTGGGAAAAAGCCCTTCATCTTACATTTGCGTACAAGGAAACCTTATTAAATACTTTGTCTAGCGTTAAACTGTTGCTAGAGGCAGCATTAGCTTAGTAATAGAAACCAACAATACACATGGTCCACAGGGCCAAATGTACTGATGGGAACCACATGTGTGTGTTTGTGGCCCAGGAGGAAATGAACACCAGGCCCAGAGGTACTGCAGTACCAAGGCAGCACTTGGAGAGGCCAGAGCAAGCTCTAGCACCCTTCCCTAGTGCCAAAGTGCTGATGGGAACTACCAAAGGGTAGGTTGCTATAACTCATCTGAATAAGATAGAAGGTAGTGCCCATTGCTCTCAGTGCTGACTCTTTTCCATGGTGATTCACTGCACTGAATACATTTTGACTTCCTCTTGACTCCCACAGTTTTACTGCAACTTTCTTTCTTCCCCCCTTCCCAGGGGATTCCTTTTTCCTTCACCAGCCTTAAATATCTGGCAAACACCACCAAACAGGGCCCTAAACAGTTTACTGAGAAGCCCTCTGTTGCTCCATCTCTCACCCCATCACATATGATTAGTGTGGCCCCACCCTACATGAGGTGGAGCCAGACCAGGTTGCCCTGCACCTCATCTTTATGTAAATTTTTGGAAGATCCCATAACTCGTGACAGGGGCACCTCATTCCAGCCATGAATAGGGAGCTAATTAGCACATGGATCCATTCTGGGTGGTATCTGGAGTCCACACTCGTACGAGCACTGCTAAGCTGTGGGTTCCCCATAACTTTAAACACTGTTATCTCTGCTGGAACCGAGTTCAGTGGCCTATATGGTAAATCATGAACCTTTTGGCTTTGGACTAATGTCATGCATAATTTGTTCTATATATAAGTAGGTACAGAAGTGCTGCTTAAAAGTGTGGTAAAACTTGCAGTAGTTTCAAAAAAAAGTAAAATGCATCCATTCTGGATGAACTAAGTCTATGGCTACCTATAAGGCACATTACTACAGGTATGTTTATTTCAAGGTCAGTTTTTTTCAAATTTGCTTCTCACTTCCACACAGAGCCATCCCTAGGGGTGTGTGGGGCCCGCGGCATATCAGTCCATGCAGGGCCGGGGGGGTGGTGAGTGGCCAGAGCGTGGCGCAGGGTGTGGGCAGGGGGGAGTGGGTGAGCAGCTGGAGCTGGCAGTGCGTGGCAGCTGTAGCAGGCCATGTATGGCCCTGTCTGCAGGGCCCCTCAAAGTGCTGTGCCTGGGACAGTTGCCTGGATTCGTCCCCCCTCCCCCAACGTGATAGCCCTGCTTCCATGTACAGGTCTGAAAGTAAGAAGGGGAGAAAAAGGAAAATTTGGTGGGGGCAAAGGGGCTATCTGACCCTTGGATTTATTTTCCCTGCTGTATCAGTGAAAGAGGGACAAGTCCAAGGCAAACTCAATTAAATTCTATACCTGGAAAATATAACAAATATATACATTTTCCATATGTAGAATCTGATTACTGGGGGGGGGGGGCAGTCAGCTGGGATTCAGGGCCTTCTTATATTTAAGTAAATATGCTACTTATCTTATTTCTATTATATTTTGATTTAGATAAAAATAATTTAACTTTCTCAGTTTTGAGGCTGTGGATATAGCTAAGTATATCAGGAACACAGGGAATCCTTATAAGCACATAGGCATATTACATAGAGATGGTCATGATGATGCAGAAAAGACAGACATGTTCACTTTGGTTTTGTTTGTTTGTTTTGTTTTATTTTTGGAAAAGTGGGATGATGTATTTGTATCACATGAGGATTTTTTGGTTCTTCTACATCAAAAAGTACATCTAAGATCTACCTAAGATAGTTTGTTTTTAAAAAAGCAAGCATAGTTAATAACTTCCTGCCTTCTGATGTTAAGTTTGAATAATTATGGGGAATTAATAAATACAGGGAAATTCTAAAGTACCAGCAGAATGCTAATGTTATGCCAATATCCAAAGAAAGCAAATGGGGTGGCCCATGTGATTAACAGCTGATTACTCTGACTTAACTAATAAATTGAAAAATAATGGGAAAATAGTAATAATGGAAAACTGATACTGGAGTCATATGGTAAAGAATCAAAGGATAAGATAATCAACACCAGTCAACACAGCCTTATGGAAAGCAGGTTTTGTCAGATGTACTTGATTTTATTTATAAAGTCATTATAAGTTTTGTTGATGAAGGCTGTGCACAGGCATTACATTTCTGATAGGAGAATCATGGTTCTTCCAGTAAAAATGACACATGTACAAGCATTCACTCAGTTTCTCCCTGGGGAAACAAACTCCTTCAGGGAGAAGATCTTCCAGGGCTCACTTTGGACAATCTGTCTTGTGAACACTCTTACACTCCCTTCCCAGTATGGTCCCCTGTCTAAGGAGCAGGTAGGGGATTTGTGGAAGTGCTTCAGTCCTCCCAAAAATGGGAGGACTGGAGCCGCCAATACTCCCCATGCTTTCCCCAAACCATGATCACCCTGATCTTATGAAGGCATGAGGATCAGGGGAAAGGAGGCTGTTGCAGGATGAATGCCTGTACTGTTCCCCCTCCCAGAAACATTTCTAGCGATGGAAATGAATGCAAGGTTGTGCCTTAAGGTTGCCCTGTAGAGGTTATATACTTTTGTTTGATTTAGTACTGCATGGTACTAAATAGTGCCATGCTTTAAAAAGTAGCATTATACAATATTCTACATTAAATGGGTTAAAAATCACCCAAATCTCAAAAAGGAACTGTTAAATGAGAATCATAGAATGTGTGTGTTGAAAGGCGATTCTGTAGGGATTGTTTCTAAGCCACACATTATTCAGATTTCTTATGCTGACCTAGAATTAAATAATGAAATTGCTGGTGATAAAATATGTGGCTTTCATAAAGATTAGTGAAGTGCTAAATAATGCTAAAGCCAAAGCAATCATACAGAATGACCTGGATTGCTTGGTAAGCTGGATCAATTCAAACAAAATGCTTTTTTGATACAGCCAAATGCAAGTACTTTTTAGAAGAAAGAATGTAGGACAAGCCCCCTGCATGGAGGGTGGTGCATCCTTGAAAACTGGGGCTCTGAAAATGATTTAGGGATCATAATGAATCAGTAATTGAATGGGGCTTTCCAGTATAGTGCATCTGCTAAATGGGTTAAATTTAGTCCCTGAATATATTAGGAAGGAGGAATGGAAAGGTGACTTATAAGGAATTGGTGAGACCATTACAATTAGTGTATCCCATTCTGGGGCCCACATTCTAAAAAGACAGTGAAAAAATGGAAAGGATTCAGAACATAGCTAAAAATAATAGGTCACGTAGAGAAAATGCCTTAGAAATAAAAACTATGACTAGGTACAGACATTCAAAAAACCTGAGATGGAATCAATCTAAGTTGCACAGTTTTCTGTAAGGAGCATAGTTTAGATTGGTAGTGGACAGGATACACATTTGCCCTTGGATATGGGGGGGCAAGTCTTAGACTGAACTCCACCATTTTTAAAGCAGTTTGTGCGCTGAACTTCTGTTCTGCTATGGGTATAAACCTGTTTTGCATGCCAACCTTCTGCTCTGTTACGGGTCCAGACTGGTTTTCAATCACATTTACCTGTAAAATATTCACAATTTGCTGTGTGCACATGAGCAATTCATAGACTATTTCCATATCAACAATGATGGAAAGAGGTAAAAAAAAAAAAAAAAAAGAGAGAGTAAATTGATTTATATTTAAATCTTCCACAGTGCTGTTTAGATCTTGTTGTTAACTTCTATATTCTTTCCACAGCATGTTGTGCCTATTTTTACTGTCAGCATTAACAACAGCATTGCAGTAATATTATAAAGTAAGAAAGAAGGCCTGAAAAATAATACTGCTCTGTAGATGTTCCTCCTTAATCATAAATCTGTGTGATGTGCATAAGATATATACAGTCTCTATTTTCTAACTAACTATTTTAGTTTTATCTTGACTAAACTTACTTTAGTTTTGCAGCTTGAAATATGAAAGATTAAGTCATGTTTTGTTCAGTATAGTCCCCACGTTTTATCTAATAGTCTAGTAAAATACTGCTGTTGGACCATTTTAGATTTGAAGTCCTTTAACCATGTTAAGTAGCATGCAGTTATATATTTTCATGCACTGATTAAAATATATCTATCTTAATAAGTATTTAGATAACAATATGTTATAGTAAAATAGTCCCTTTATAGTCAACATTAATTGGAAAATAATTGTAAATTTCATATTTATGTAACAATTTCTTTCTATTTGCCCCTCTGTATTGTATGTTGTTGATGGAAGCTGAAATTCACTCTGGAGGGCTTGTTCATCTCTCTCTCTCCTTCCCATCAAAAAGCAAGTGGGGATAGGGTAGGTTATGATTTAGTCTATGCAAAGAATAAAGGATGTAGGAACATCGGGTAAATCCCCAGTGTTTACAGGTGTTTTTGTCACAGGTCCAATTTTATGCCCTGGATGACATTTTCTTTATTTCACAGCCCGGGGAATCATCCCAAAAGCCATCAGCCACCATTCTCATTAATTTTCTTGCAAGTGTGTTGCATGGCAGCCTCTCCATCAACCACACTTCTACAGCTTTTCTTGCTAGTTGCTTCAGTCTTTACCCAGGGAGATTAAAGCCCTCTCTTTTCCTGGTTATAGCAAAGAAATCAGCATCCTGGAGCTGCAAATGGACTAAGAACTGGTCTTGAAAAAGATCGTCAGACATAGAACTATAGAGGGGTTTCATAGATTAATACATGTTTGGGTCAGAAGGGATCTTAGCAGATCATCAAGTCCAACCCCCTGCCCTGGGCAGCAAATAGCTCTGGCATCAGACAACCACAGCCAGGTGCATGCCTAGCCATCTCTTAAAGACCCCCAAGGTAGGGGAGAGCACCACCTCCCTGGGAAGTCCATTTCAGATTCCGGCAACCCTTAACATAAAGAAGTTCTTCTTGATTTTTAACCTAAATCTGCTCTCCATCAGGTTGTGGCCATTGTTCCTAGTTACTCCAAGGGATGCCCTGGTAAACAGAGCATTTCCTATTACTTGCTGACACCCCCACTCCGGCTGATGAAATTGTAGGCGGCCAAAAGATCACCTCTCAGCCTTCTCTTGCGGAGGTTGAAGAGATACAGGTCCCTCAATCTCTATTCATAGAGCTTTGTCTGCAGGCCTGTAACCATACCAGTGGCCCTCCTCTGAACCCTTTCAAGATTTTCCACATCCCTCTTGAAGTGCGGCACCCAAAACTGGATGCAGTACTCCAACTGCAGCCTGACCAGTGCTGCATAGAGGGGAAGTAGCACCTCCCTGGGCCTGTTTGTTATGCACCTGTTAATGCATGATAAAGTGCAGTTAGCTTTACTGCTTACTTTGTCACATTGATGACTCATGTTCATCTTGGTGTCAATAATGACTCCGAGATCCCTTTCCGCTGCTGTGCTGCTGAGAAGGTCCTCCCACAGCCTGTAATCATTCTGGTGATTCCTTCTCCCTAGGTGCAGCACCTGACACTTGTCCTTGTTGAACTGCATCCTCTTCTGTTCCTCCCACTTTTCCAACCTGTTCAGATCCACCTGGATTTGTTCCCTACCCTCTAGTGTGTTAACCTTACCCCATAATTTGATATCATCTGTGAATTTGGAAAGAGTGCTTTCTACAAGTCACTGATGAAGACATTGAACAGTACATGTCCAAGGACTGAGCCCTTTGCGACTCTGCTGCCCACATCTTTCCAGGTTGATACTGACCCATCCACCACCACTCTGTGGGTGCGACCCCTAAGCCAATTTACCACCCACCTGACCGTATATTCATCTACATCCTAGCCGCTCAGTTTGTGTGAGAGACTAGAATAAGATACCTTATCGAAAGCTTTCTTAAAATCCAAGTAGATGACATCTACCTTGATTCCTGCCTCTAAACATTTTGTGACCTGGTCATAAAAAGAAACAAGGTTAGTGAGGCAGGATCTGCCTGTTATGAATCCATGCTGGTTGCCCTTCAGCATTATTTTTCCTGCTGGACTCCCACAAATGTTATCTTTAATAATTTTTTCAAAGGTTTTCCTGAGGATACAGGTGAGACTAACTGGTCTATAGTTACCCAGATCCTCCTTCCTCCCCTTCTTGAAAATAGGGACTATATTGGCCTTTTTCCAGTCCTCTGGGACCTGACCTGAGCACCAAGAGTGCTAAAACAGCTGTGCCAGTGGCTCTCCTATGACACTGGGGTGGAAAAAGGAGACTTGTACAGGAAGGAAAACTATGCTAAGGTCTGCTGGAATGGGAACAGTAGTGAGGTGGACCTAGAAGGGAGTAAGAACAGAGTAGATTAAGGAATAAGGGAAGCATAACAAACATAGAAATGGTGAGAGAAGTGAAAAGGTAGAACATTCAACCAAGTAAATTAGAAAGGGAAGAGGTAAGGAATCCAAAAGATGAATGAGGGGAAAAAGTGTAAAGGAACACACTAAGATCAGCCAGAGATTAAAGTCAATAAATAGCATGTCATGAGGGTGAGAGAGAGAGAGGGCTGGGATAAACTGGCAATATATGTCAGTTTGGTCTGGAAATAGTCATGCTATGCCAATAGGCCCCAAACCTGTAGCACAGACTGGCACTGATGAGAAGGTTTCTGGTGCTGCCAAGTTGTCATGCCTCAATCTCTAGCTCTCTTCAGTTGCAGTTTGGTTTAGACACTGGACATCCTATATTTGATATTCCCAAATAAAAGAATTTGACTCTGGTGGAATATAACACAAACATATTGCTACCTATGCGTTTTGACAGAAGGTTCTGCCTAGTTTGCTATAAATGCATTGTAAGTCACCAAAAGACCTACCACACAACCATGGCAGCAGTCTTAAACTACACCATGATTCAGAGGTAAATTTACTATTGATTGATTAACTTTTCATGACTATATCTATAAGCCAGAATTTGACTCATAAACTGGTAATTCAGAGAGAGAGAGAGGCTTTTCGTTTTCTCAAATCTTTGCAATCAATGGCTAACAAATATTTGAGGACATGAGATACTAAATGACTCTGCCAAGATAAGTGCTACTTTTTTCTTCTGGTATGTATAGTTTGGCACAATCATGCAGGTCCTTGTTACCACCAGATTAGATTTATATATTCAATATGGAACTGCATTTAGGTAACCTGGAAGCTAGCACTGAAGTCTTCAGCCTCCGTTCTAAGTGAAGTTGCAGAGTGGAAGCACATTAAGGCAGTATTCCCCAAGCTACACTGGCTTCTATTAAGTTTCTCAGTGGAAACCCTAGTGTTGATTTTATACTGTAAAAGCCTAAAGAGTATGCACTTTGATTACTTGGGACATTAACCTTTCCCAATGATATATGACCATCATGCGTACTAGTGGTGGTGTGAGAAATGATGGTCTTGTAGAATAAAAGGGAGCTACTCCCAGGGTATTTTGAGGAGTCCTGAATTTTGGGACTTGAATCTAAATTTGTTAGGTTTCTGAATTGAAAAATCTTTATCTTATTTTCTCTTTGCATGAAGTATGGTAAATTGTTATGCTGGCCAGGGCATGTAGTCTTATTAAAAAAATTAGAATAATTAAATAAATGAGAGGGGCATATATTATATCAATTTTATTTATTTAACAGTTTTCAAGAAAGACAAATTAAGATCAGGTCCAGTTGAAAATCATATTGAATTATTTTAAAATTAAATGAAAACAATAACTTGAAGAGAAAAGAAAACTAAATATTAAAAATAATTATAAATATATCATGCTCAAGAAACTAAGAGCATAGGGAGATGGGGTACTGGAATGGCTGGAAAAGTCTTGAACTGGAAGTAGTCTGATGTGTTAACTTCTGACCAGGCTTCATTAAACTTCAGGTGAACAGTATTTTTTGCTTCCTCCTGCTTAGCTTTGCTACTTTTTTTTTATTGTAATGTGAACATATATGCCAGAACACATGTGTAGGCCTCGGGTTATAAAGAAAGAATCAGGTTTGTAATAATTGGCCCTTGTAATGAACAGCTGTTTGAGTACTACCACAAACTTGAAACCATGGTGGTGGCCTGAAAAACTGCCTTGGCATAACTGATTCCAAGTTTTTTTCCTTGGACGGACACCACAAGGTACAAGCAAAGTGCACACAGAGGCAGCTGAGCACGGAGGTAGTGTAAAGCACTGCTGTAGGCCAAATAAGATGTAGATAGCTGTAGACTGTAGGAAGACAGGCAAAACAAAACCCAAGGATAGCTCAGTAGGGAAGAAGTAAGTTCAGAAAGAAACAGGGTGAGGTTGACAGATTGATGAGGAAATAACTGCTGTAAAAGTTAATTGGTGAGGATCTATAGTATTACCATACAAAGAGTATACAGAAGAGGACTGTAAAAAGATATAAAAGTCTAAGGAAACGACCAAGTTTGGGAAGTTGTCACCGAGTCAGAGGAGAACACGGTTAAAACTGGGACCCCCCAGTGCCACAACGATGCCTAGCTAGCTGAGTCATTCTGCATTGTTCAGAAGGCTGGCATAAGAATACCTTTACAGACAGTTTTGGATTTTGCTTAAGTAATAGTATTGCTTATGTGTGCAATACATTTGGATTTGAAACTGGAATGGGATCACCAATCATTTGATACCATTCATACCACCCCTTAATCAAAATTATGTGCACCAGATTTAGACTCCCTTGTGGCTTCAGCGAGTGAGCTGATGTGGGCTCTAGCTGGTGAATGGAGATCATAATATCCAGCTTTATTGAACCACGCTGGGTCCCAAGGATTGCAACCTTGATTCATGGAGAGAGGGATTTGCTGAGACTGTACACAAATATGGGCGAGTAGGATATCCAGTTAGGGATTTTCCCCTTTCCAAACCTAACACCATGGCAACAGAAGTAGAAGATTTTAGGTAACCTAATTAAATGCTTTGTCGCTTTTCAAACCAATTGTAAAAAGAAAAGAAAATGTGTGTGGTTTCTGACCTTTAACTTGGATTATAATTTATATGATAGATTTTATTTGTATTTATGATGTGGCGCTAATACGAATTCCCAATCTTATTCATTTAGGAAAATATTAATTTCATGCTGTTTTTTACTATAAGGTAGAAGACTGGCAGCTTTCAGAGCCCCCTAAGTGGAAATATTGGTGTTGGCCTCAATAGGGATCTCTTTTTCATTGCTTCACAGACTTCAATCATTAATCAGACTTTTTAAGCTCTAATGGTATGTTTTTTGAGGATGACAATTGTTTTTGCCTTCTGAATAGCAGTTATTTAGTACACTTCATACAAATTTACTATTAGATGATACTTCAGTTCTGTAAGGTTCTTTTTTAAGGTTTGATTTTTCATTAAAAATAAGTTACAAGATACCTGCAGAGAATTTCTGTAAACCAGAACCTTGAAGATGGGGTACAACTGTAAAATTCTTGTGTTGGTCAAATGACTCGTGAAAAATCATGCATCCAGTGGAAACATCTGGGTTCTTTCTTTGCATTTCTTTAAGAAGTTTGTGGTATTTTGTTTCTGTTTTAGGAAATTCTAGGAAGAAACTGATGTGCTCAGTGTGCAATAAGAAATGTTCCTCAGCAACAAATCTTCAAGAGCATCGAAAGGTCAGTAAGATGAAGGCTGACCCACAGCAGGCTTTGACTTCACCAAGATATGAAAGCATGGAGCTTGGGTCACTTGAGAGCTCCTGTAATACAAACTAGTAGGTAGTCTTTTTATGGTTACAAAAAACATGCCATTTTTTTTTTATTCTGGGCTTTTAATTTTGTAACCACAGTAGGTTAAACCAAAATTTTTGGTTTATTTGTAACCTATCTTTTCCTAAGCATCAAATTGTGTGTGCACGTGTTCATTTTCAAATTCCTGAGCTAAGCCAAAATTGCCTACTTTTATTTATCTTCAGGTCACAGGAAGGGGACTAAAACTAAATGTATATTAGCCTAAATTAGGCTGAACCTGTGAATCTTTCTGATTATGCAGAAAATGCAAACAAGTTCTTTTTTTCCTTATGATTCTATGTGAAAATAACATCACAATCCTAAGAGTATAGTCTGAAATCTATTTTATTGGCATGGTTAGTATACAAATGCCCTTAAAAGAGAAGGGGTATAAAAAGCAAATGTATTTTTAGTTTTATTCACTTGAATTCTTGTAGATAAATTGAAATAGTGGCATTTCAATAACAGAACAGAAAGAGTTAATTTTCTAAAAAACACTCATTGGAAATAAGGTAGTTAGTATAGATATACAGATAGGTAATGAATAAGGTTCTTAAACTGTTATACCCAAAGGAAGATCCTGCAAGATTAATTTGATAAATCAGTAAAACCCGAGAAGGCCGGATTTTACAAAAACCTATATCATATAGTTTATCAGATCAACCATGAGTCTTTTAATAATGCCCTATTTTCAATCTAAGTCCAGTGAGAATATATAATTTTGAGTAAAATAAGTTGTTGTAAAATTGTTGCAAGCCCTTTTACTAATTTTTCATGATTTGTTATTTTGCTTACTTGTATTAATGTTCTCTTGAATGTTTTGGAGAAAAAAGAGAGAGAGAAAATGCAAAACACCACTGTCTAATTGCTCAGTCACTTTCCAAGCTAATCAGAATGTGTTTTCTTTTTAATTTAGATCAGGAACAACAAGTTAGTGTATATTCAGATGACCATGTCACTGAAAGCCTTGAACATCCCACTTTTCTAGGTCACTCCCTGTGAGGTTTATAGAGAAGATTTGTCTTGCAATAATTAAGATGTTATCCATCCACATGAACTGGTGACCAGGTTTGCCAGCAACAATAAGCTAGCTAAGTACCTGTTCATCTCAAGAACCACCAGCAGGATTGTCCGTACTTCCCCCCATGTTTCTTTGGCTTCCGATAGACATTACACTTAAGATGTGCTTAACTGGTTAACTGTGTCTTAAGTAGTGACCTGGTTATACCTTCAATCAATTAACAGCACGATAAAATGAGGAATAAGCCACAAAGTTATTAGATATATTGTTTGTAATAATTTTGTAACTGGTTCCTATCATGCCTTTAATTGAACATTGTGACCAACTTCTGGAGTACATGGGAGCTTTGTGAGACTCCTTTGTGCTCCAGAGGCTGGAAGGCTTCTCAGCTGATCAGAACTCCCAGCTCGGGGAGCACACCATGTGGACAAGAGCCCTTGTCAGACAATCAGGTGCATCATGGCAGGAAGCGCAATTGTTGGGATCCCACGTCAGATCCTATCGCACCTTTACTTGAATGTCTATCGGGGACCTTTCTGTTAACTAATTCCCTGTGAGAGCCCATATCCTGAAATAAACCAACTCTGCCCATGCAAGAAATCTGATCAATTTGGAGGCATTTAGAACTAAATAAAAAGGATTTAGGTGCTTAACATGGAGACTCAAATGGACACCACAAAGGGCATGATCAAGTAGATGTTCATAGTGTGTGCCTAACACACCAAGAGGACTGGCCATCTCACAAAATAACATTTGTAACTGTAGCTTTCTCTTAAAATGCTGCAGATAGGGAATCTCACTTATTGTACAATACCATGTTGTATTATACCATTTTGTATATTATACCCAAGGTGTGTTCCTTTTTCTGAGGAGGTTCAAACCCAATTTCTCCTTCCTTAGAGACACCTGTAACTGTCTGAAGAGAGAGGTGGTACCTTGTGGTCTTGTAGGGCATTTAAACATGTGCTCCAGGAGTGAAGTTCAGGGGGGAGCCCAGAGCATCACTTGTATCAATGTACCCACACTGAAAAATGGCGGCAGGGGGGCTTTAACTAAAGCATCCCCATTGCCATTTTGCAGCTTGCTGGAGTCTGCCGGAGCACAGTAATTACCAAGTTCCAGTAGACTCGATTAATTGAGTCTGCTCTGACACGCTGTAATTACAGTATGTCGGAGCAGCCTCACTGCATGTGTATAGGTGTCCCTAGTAAGTTGGGGAATTTCAGGTCCTTGTTTCCAGGACTGTTGCTGTATAATATATTTAAAAAGTCATTGGATAAAATATAGAAACAATCCTGGGAGAAAATTCCACAAGGCTACAAAGTCATATGCATTCTTTTGTTCCCCTCCTATCCCCTTCCCCTCATTTCTCTCTTTCTGTTTTCCAGTGAATCTTAAATTCCTTTCTACACAGTAGCACAGATTCTTTTGGCATGTTTCTAAGAAACAGCCTTTCCTATCTATCCACAGCTAAAATTTGTTCAGGCTCTCAACATCTTCTCTCTTAATTACTGCCACCTCCTTCTTTCTGGCTGTGCCCCATTTGTATCCATTCAATATTACTTTGCCCTTCATTGAATTTTATTCAGCATACCATGATTATTTTCAACTCTGATCCTCTCCTCCAAAACATTTGCATCCCATGCCAACTTGGTGTTTGTGGCAGGGCACTTGATGTGCCTGCCACTTTAAGAGGTCAGGCAACTGAGCCACCTGTAGGTGGGGGCCAGGGCTAATTGTGGAGTCAGCTGACCCAGGGGGCCAGCAGGTGAGGCTAGGCCTGATCAAGGCAGTCACCTGATTGGAGGAGGGCTAGGTTTAGACAGGGACCCTGGGAGCTGGTATAGGAGCATCACCCAGCAGGAAGGCTGCCACTCCTGAATGCCAGCAAGGAGAATAACATCTGGAGGTTTGGGTAGGAACGAAGGGGATGGAGGAGGTTCCTGGGGACCCAGTGTAGGGGTCCAGGGGTCTGAGTGCCTGAGGCCTAGTGAGTAGCCAGGGGAGCCCTAGGAGAGGGGCTGAGAGTCTGTGAGCCTATTGAGGGGCCAGGTGAGCCCTGAGAGAGGGGCTGAGTGTTTGAGAGACCTAGTGAAGAGGCTGGGTAAACCCAGTGAGTGGGGCAAAGTGTAGGGGCCTATTGAGTGGTCTGGATGAGCCCAGAGAAGGAAGGGGCTATTTTAGGGAAGACTTATGGAGGGCTCTGGGTGAGCCCAGAGAGAGGAAGTGATCTATGGAGGGGCCTGAGCGGGAAGACTGACAGAGACGAGAGGGCTGACAGCTGGAGGACTGACCCTGGGAATCTCAACTGACCTGTGCAGGGCCAGGGCCCAGGAGGGGCTGAAGGGTGAAACAGAGCACAGCAGAGACTGCCAGAGCAGGGAGAGCCTCGAGTTCTCAACTGGCCTGAGGTGGGGCCAGGGCCTAAGAGAGGCCAAAGGTCCTTGTGTGGCCACAGCTGAGAGGAAGGGGTCAAGGGGCATGCAGGCTGGGATGATGATGGCTGGTGCTAGGCCATCTGAGGAGGAGGATCAAGGAAAGGGGTCTGAGAGTGAACTGGAGGCCAGAGATAGAGGACTCAGATGAGAGATGGAGCCAGGGCCAGGGGAACTGGTGGTTAGCCCCCCAGGTGGGGTGTAAGGACATCTAGGGGGAGCCCAGAGAGGGACAAGTAAGATTAGGTAGGTCTGAAGACTGGTCCTAACCAAGACCTGAACCTGCACTCTATTGGGGCTGGTTAGCATGGTGGGTCTGCCTGTGGCAGGATAGCCTGCATGAAATGTTGTGTATGGGCCACTCTAGGGAAAGGTGAGGATGGGGTGCTGGAAATCCTTGGCTCCTACTGCCTTGTGGGTTACCACATGGAGGGGGAAAGCTAGAGGAGTACCCCAACAGAAAAGCACTTAGCAAGGAAGACCGGGACCATATAGGTCCAAAGACCCAGTGAACAAGCCAGGGAAGACGGGGACCATGTGGGTCCAGAGGTTCAGCGATGAGCCAGAGAAGACCGGCCCGCATGGGCCCAGGGACAGGCCAGGGAAGACGGGGACCATGTGGGTCCACAGGCCCAATGAGGGGCAGGGAAGACACGGACCACATGGGTCCGGAGGCCCGATGAGGGGTTGGTGAATAGAGTGGGGTCCAGTGAAGGGATGGGGGAATAGAATGCAGGGTCAGACAGGTCTGAGGGCCTGGGTAGTGAGGCCTGGCAAAGGGCCTGAGGCATATAGTGAGGCCCCGTGAGCATAGTGGGACTGGAAAGGTCTAGCAACTTAGTGAGGGCCAGGAATAGTGTAGGACCAGAAGGATCTGAGGGCCTGGAGAGTGGCTGGGAAAGGGAAGAACTAAAAGGATCCAGGATGATGAACCAAAAGGGGCTGGCAGCCTAGAAAGGGGCCAGGAGGAAGACCAAGGGGCCTGGTAGCCCAGGGAGTGCTTGTGTGTGACCAAGGGGTCTGAGAGCCCAGACAAAGGCTAGAAGAGACATTGAGGGATCTGGCACCCCAGGAAGGGGCTATGCAGAGAGACTGAGAGGTCTGAGGGCCTGGAGTGGGGCTGAGAGAAGCCAAGGGGTCAGAAGGCCCCTAGAGGGGCGGCATTGGCAATTGGTAGAACAACTGTAAGGATGTCATCTGCGAGGCATGGGGTTTGGTGTAGAGGAGGTATGGAGCCATGCAATTGGCTCAGAAGACCAGGACCACAATCTGGGTGGTAATTGTAATAAGACCAGGGCAGCCTCCCACACTCTGTATAACAAGTAACATCAAGACATGGCAGGAAAGACCTGGGTGGACTGCTCATAGAGTAGGTAACTCTCTATTTTTTTCCTGGTTCCTGTGACTGTCCTCCACAAATTTTGTAAGTG